GGCTCTCCGAGCTGCTGGAAGGCGGTAGCACAGACAGGGCTAACAGGTGCCTGCAGCTGAAGAGCGCACTGGGCCTGCGAGGGGCGTCTCGGGTGCAGGAGTGGGCGGGTGTCTGTGCTGCACGCAGATCTCTCCCCTGGCTGTCTGAGTCACTGTGAGTCAGCTGCACCTCTTCTGAAGACATACCTTCCCGAATCACAAGCAGGGAAGAGTCCTTTCTTCCTTGAAGCATCCCAATTGCTAAACAAAATGTGTTTTTGGTCCAGAATATTAAATATCTTAGATTAGTTTGCAGTTTGTGATGCCTGCGAGTATAGCTATGGATTCAATCTGCTCCTGGGTCTGTCTGTACCTGTGTCCACTTGAGCCATACGAAGACCTTTATGCACTGAACAGAAATCGCAAACCAAGAAAAGCTGCAATGCGATCAACTTTTTTACCTGAACATTTGGAGCAACTTAAAAACAAGGGCGAAATATTATGCCCGTTAGGCATTCTGGCCAACAGCACCGACAGGTCATGGATTTCTAGTCCGAGAGTTTCAGCAGCTCCTCTTCCGATGGGAAAAGCGATTGACTGGAGCTTTGTGGAAGGACAGAAGCAGTAAAGGTTTTACTCCAGGTGCCAGTACTTTCCCCAGAGGAGGATGGGGAGAAACGAGGGGCTTCTGCCGCTGAGACGTCACTGGCGGAGTCACAGCCCTGCCCCCTTGCGACCTTGTGAGCCCGGATCCAAGCTTGTTCCAGACTTCTCCCCGCCTCCCTCTCTGATCTGCCCTCCCCCTCCTTCTTCAGGTGAAGCGAGCCTCATACCTGGCAGCAGTGAGTCACCGACAGGCCGCGTCTGGAAAACCCGACGCACACAGCTGCTGAGCACAGCGATGTAGGGGAAACTGTGGGCTCGTCGCCGCTGTGAGAAAGCTCAGCATGTGGAGGAAACACGCACACATCAGAAACACCACCAGCTTCAAAACCACACTCAAGACAGAGCTGTTTTTTACAGACAGCCAAGGCTGTAACGACCCGTGAAGGTCACACTGTCATGTCCTGTTGTGTTTGGATAAGTACTGTGTTTTAGGCTGTATGTGATACAAGTAAAAACACACAGCATACTAGTGCTGCTTGACTTTTGCCCCTTTGGTGTAAACACAGACATTGGCGAAGCTCTTGAGGAGAGAGGACCTCTGGGTCCTGGGAGTTCTTGTGAGCTGGGGCCGAGTGAAGATTTCTCACACCAGTCTAGATGCCCTGCTTCAGATCTGCTCTCCCTGACTCGTGTGCAGCAGACAGCTCCAGTAAGACTCCTCTGGGACTGCTCAAAGCCAGAGGAGAACAGGTCCGTCTGAGTGTTATCGGAACCGTCTGGGACTGAATGAGCCCGTCTGGGTCTGACTGAGCCAGTCTGGGGCTGAACGATTCCGTGTGGGACTGACTGAGCCAGTCTGGGGCTGAACGAGTCTGTGTGGGACTGGACCGAGCCCGTCTGGGGCTGAACGAGTCCGTGGGACTGAACGAGTCCGTGTGGGACTGACTGAGCCAGAGGAAAAGGCTGCAGGAGCTGTGCAGGGAGAGAGCACAGCCCTCTCTGGACTCCCCCAGTAAATCACACAGCCGGCTGTAGTTTTAGAGTATTTATAGCCAGTGTCTCCTGGGAACATGCGGGGGAAGAAAGGAATATTCCCAGGCTCCACCTCTCTCCACAGAGGACGCCCTGAGAGTGGGCTACAGCAGAGGGAGTCAGGCACAGATTCCTGGCACAGGACACCCAGACACGACCCAGCACGACCCAGCACGAGCCAGCACGAGCCAGCAGGACCCAGCAGGACCCAGCAGGACCCAGCAGCAGCAAGGTAGCAGCAAGGTACCAGCAAGGTACCAGCAAGGTACCAGCAAGGTACCAGCACCGAGCCGAGTGCCCACCTCCAAGAAAACATGTGCACTGGGGTTGGGCAGGTGAGTTTCATACAGATGACAAGAGCCAGAGGGCGGCACAGTGGTGCAGTGCTGTGTTTACTCTTCTCAGCCTCACACTGCCTCCCTGTCTCTCTCCACAGCCTCACACTGCCTCCCTGCCTCTCTCAGCTCTAATCACAGCCTCACACTGCCTCCCTCTC